CTCCAAGGAGTCTTGTAAATATACGTATATATGAAATACGAATACTCAAATGTATACAATACACTAAAGAATTGGATATGTAAATACAATAAATTCACTCTGAAATATTTAAAACTCGCTTTGACCAAAAATAGATTTATCTCCCTTAATCAAAATGCATAAATAAAATTAGTAAAGTGGCTCTCTCTAATGACTAGATGCCATGTGTTAGACGACGCTATAAGTTGTTAGAAACTTTTATGATATTGATTTCGAAAGATACAATAATTCTCAAAGCACTTTATCGCGCTGTCTATTCATCTTACGATTTACGGAGTCACGCACTTTTGAAGTACTATAGGGCGACCGTTCATCGAACGGTCATCGAACTCAGAAATTACCAAGTTCGAGGAGCGACACGGCGGCGGCTGCTGACCAAGGGCAGGAAATTCCCGACTCGAGCCGCGGTCGAAGTGGGTGGACGAAAGGGGTGGCAGAGGGTCGGACAGGTGGGGTAGTGAAAATTTCAGCCCGGTGGTGTGGCCCGAATTAAGCGTCTAATTGTAAAGGCGACATGTGCGAGGGAACCGCCGCGCCGGCGGGGGCGGGGGCGGCGGGAAGTGGTGCGGCGAGCGCGATGGGGGCGCGTAGGTCGGACGGAGGTGAGAAGGTGGCGGGGGGTGAAGGTAGCAATTAACTTCTCCTCGCGAGATTAGAGCGAGATATTACGAGATATCGAGCGACTTAACGGCAACACGCGAGAGACTTCAAAGGCAGTAATAAACTGCCTCTAATGAACCCCTTATCGCCCGGTGCCACCCCTCCGTGCCCCGTTCCCGCCCTCTTCTTCGTTTCCCTCAGCACCTCCGGCGACCTACCGTCTACGTACGTGCCTCCCTCGACGCGATGCGGGCTGAATCGAGCGCAGAAAATACGCCGTGTTCTCTTCCGCGCGAACGCGATCGGCGGTTCTCTTTCTCTGTTATCGTCGTTGTTACTATTATCGCTATATACTATTACTCTTGTCGCTCCAACGTTATATTGCCATTATTATCGATGTGGATGAAATCCATGTTTTATCACAGTTTCGTCACTCTGTTATTTTCTTTCGTCACTTTAAAGCTGTACTTGTATTTCTTTCTAGATTCAAAGGATCTAATGTATATATACGTGTGTGTAATCACCGTATATATATGTATGTATGTTTGTATAGATTATAATCCATCTAGAGAGAGTAACGATGAATACATCAATCTGCAATTATTGATCTTTTTATCACGTTAACACACATTATAGAATCAGATAAAATTAGCAATCGAATCGAAAGCAAAAGTGGACAATCTTAAGATCAAGGAAACGTTCGTTCTAGAAAGGGTGCATGAATCCAGTCTATTCGTCTCTCAGCTCGTTCTCGACTCGTCGCCGTCGCTCGTCGCTCGTCGCGGCGCTACGCCGCGGCATGGCGCGTCGCCGGTCTCCGTCAAGCCCAATCATGTTGATTCAACAAAGTACCTACCTACCAAATTGCTGGAATTTGGTATTCGGCCAGAAAGATGGAGGGAGAAGGAGCCATCGGAGCAAGCTAGAGGACTGGAAGCCGTCTGATTGCACATCTAGGACAAACCAGCATCACGACGATGTCGCTCCAGCGGAAAGCCGAGCGATGATTGGCCGCACACACACATTCTCTCTCTCTCTCTCTCTCTCTCGTTCCCCTTTTCCTCGATCCCTTCAGCCCCTCATCCGTACGCCCGAAACCCGATGGCGTCGGGGGCTGGGGGTGATTGGACGCATCTCGGTGATTGTGGCACCCACCGTCCACCCCTCTGCACCCCCTTCTCGCTCTCTCTTTCTCTCTCTCTCCCTCCCTCTCTCCTTTCGTTCCGTCCACCGCGCCATCCCTCCTACACGGCTGTAAATCGAGTTTACCCTCTTGCCGTGGCTCAGCCCTTCAATCAAACTGATTGAAACATTCCTTGAATCCAAAAGAAACGAACCGCCATCCCTTCTCTCTCGTCTCTCCAACCTCCCCGCTATCTTTCCGAGTCGCACCGCGCTCGCTATCCTCTCCATCCATCTGTCTATCCGCTCGGCCCGCGCGGATATATCCGTCGTTCTCTTTTCGACGAGGCGGTTGCAGCAGACGCTGCTGCCGCGCAGGAGACACCCGATGGTGTTTCGAGACAACCGGTTGGTTTCAATTCCGACAGTAGTTTGATTGTAAAGCTGCGCAGGATATAAAGCGCTTAGCGTGATATGTATGATGCACCGAGTGTTCTCCGTAAGAATGTGCTATTGTTGCCCTAAGCGACAGTCATACGCTGAGTCTGATAAACTTTTGATGATATAATCCCACAAGTGCATCGATTTGGATTCGTCTGTTAAATGTGGTTTTTAGAGCTCGGAAAATATGAAAAAGTGAAGAAATATATCTGCTGTTGTTTAATTTTCGATGTATATATTCTTAAGAGGATTACAGAGTTTCAATGACCGAAAATTGGATAAATTACAAATGTTGTTTATGTACGAATAACCATACATAAATGTTCCTTTGAGTATGTTTTAAGATTTCTTTATAAACAAAATCAGATGCAAAAGTTCAAAAACTATGAATATTTGAGGGAAATGTATAGGTAATTAAAAGTAACTGCGCCATTTACGCACTGATGTGTTTTTACCACGATTCCGAATGAACGAGTTAGAATTTTTCAATTTTTTGGAGTTATTTTGTTTACGAGAACCTTTCTTTATAGTGTCAATCTGAACTTCTGAATAGAAAAAAAACTATCAAGTTAAGAACAATGGTGATCAAAATTAAAAAATGTTGAAAGATTCACGTTATTTGCTATTAAACGAATCTAAAAAATAATCTTTGTGAAGTCGATATCTACACCGTTTTGAGTTATCGTGGAAAAATGAACAAATCGTGCTTGAAGATTTAAAAGAAAAATTTATGCTTAAGAATTTAAAAGTCTTTCGAACTATACTAATGGCAAAACCACACTATGTATCGTACTTTGTTAACCGTTCCCCTCTTTAGGGTTGAGCATAGCTTCACAAAGAACACTAGAAATACAAAGGACACCGACGGGGGTCCCTCGTATTTCAATCGTCCTCTTTTATTTTGTTGGTTCTCCTAAGCTCAATTTTGTGAATTTCTCAAAAAATAAATAAATAAAAAAACAAACAGGAAAATATTTTTAAAGAATCACACTATCGGAATATGTAAAAAACAAAAATTCAAATTTTTCAAAATTTTGAGAAACACTCTGATTCATTAGATTCTTTTCAACTGCTTTATCTTCTTATAATTCATACTTCTTCCTAATAATATCTTTTCTTCTTTGAAATTAGTTTTAAGGGACTAACACTCTCAAATAGTTTATCACGTTTCATTTTTCGACGAAAGCAAGTCGATGGGCACCGGGATGGACGATGTTAGACCCATCCCGAGGATGGGGACGTCTCGTAGTCAAATATTGATACTAGGCCGGACTAAATCGTTCGACTATGCTAACAGATTAGGACGTACGTGCACCACGGTTGAGTAATAGCAATCGCGCGATAAGGACAGCTAGGACCGACGAAATTGAAATATCAACGCTAACATACCGATAATAAAAATATCTATCCGTATCTATTAATGTCTCCCCCTTGCCTTTCGCATCTCCATGTTGCATAATAATATTTTAGCGGTGGTATTATGATGAAACGTAGAAACACGAACGGCCGAAAGCGCTTAAACTGCAGCGTGAAATACAAGAAATGTCACTCCTCGTGCGGATATAACCGGTTGGTTGAGTAAAAAAAGGACTGACAGTTCCATTACCTCCGGTACGTACGCGGCCGGGCCAGGTTGTGCCGATCTATTTCGGTGGGACTAACTAAGTTCAGCGTCTGTTTCTCATTAAATTGCGCTCTGACCTCGAATCATCTAAATTTGGAACGGCCACGCCGATTAGGTGCATATTCATCACAGTGCGGCAATTCCCAAGTCTCGAGTCATTCATCGATAAACGATCAAGAGATCTCTGTGCTGTGTTTATCGAGTATAACATTGCGGCAATATCATATAATGGGCGAGATAACACTTGGAAATAATTATAAAGACATATAAATATTGTTTCATTTTTTTTTTGTTCAGATAAAGACGTCTCGCAAAAAGGCAATTAATCAAAAGGCAATTAATGTGTTCTTCCTATTGTATTTTATCACTATTTGTCTTGTCCATGTATCCGTACAACTTTGTATTTTCCAGATTTATTTCTGATCCTCGTATAGATCTTTCTTATATTTCGATTTTTCTTCTAATTTTAATTCTATATTTCTAAATCACACGAGAAGCCCTAGATTTCTAGATATATTTAGATATCGTAGCGGTGTCCACATACTGTACGACATTTGTTTCGACAATATAGCGAATAATTGTAACTATTAGGAAAAAAAGAAGGCAAATATGATTATGACGTAAAACGGCAACTTCCTAGTTCCACGGCTATTTTGCACGAGAGGAATGTTGATTACACGATATTGGCTCCCAGGAATCCCGGCACGGTATAAACGAACGCGCGGCAAGTACCACGATAAATTAGCCATAATGGCCGCGCACAATAACAGTATTTATTATTAATAACGAAGCGTCGGGCGTTGTTATTAGTTTCAAGAAATTAGACGGCGCCGATTCTCTGTCGGGGCCACGCGGAGTCGCGCCTGCGCCGGTAAAGCCGGACTATCCGGTGTCCCACGTTGTGCGACTGAGTACCTAATTTAATGGAAGCGATAATTTCTAATTTATTCATGAGTCACCGCTATCAACTTTTCGATAAGCGGCAATATGCGAAGAAGAAGAACGCGGTACCGTCTGAGGACGTTTTCCACGTTAACCGAAAAAAAAAAAAAATAAGAGAACTTTTTCATTCTCCTTTCCTTTTTTTTTTTCTAACTCTCTCGGAGTATATTTTCCCGTTGATCGATGGATTTGATATACGCTCGGTTCAAGAGAAATTAACAACACGACTCACCGTCTGTAGTCGGTCTTGCAGAGGATCATGCCACTTTTGGTGTAGCAGGACTGGCCGATCTCTCCCAATACTACGTTGCAATATGTGCACTTGAGACAGCCAATGTGCCAGTAGCGGTCCATCGCTAGCAACAGCCATCTATCCACTATTTGTACACCGCAGGCGGCGCATTGCCGAAGGCTCGTTGACCCGCTAGGGATACCTTCTTGCTGTAACATTAAGTTTTCATTTTTGTCACTCCTTGAGTGTATAATATATACTACCTCACATTCATAAATAACAGACTATAATTTGCATTAATTTGTATCTAGTTAAGGATATACTCTGCGTAGTTTAATTAATTTATATTAAGTTAACTTTGTTAGTACTACTACTATTTTCTCGAAATAGCAAGAGAGAGATGGTTGGTTACGAAGTTCGAGCTCTGGAAAACGATGGCGGACATAATTTTTTAAGAGGACGCGAAGACGAGTTGCCATACAGGACTTAGAAATCGTTTCTAGCCCATTATAAGTAGAAATTCAAGCATCGTGGTAATTAATGCGAAACAGAAAGTCATTAACGAACACTAAATCATTACGGCGTCTTAAGTGCGCGCTTATTATGAATGCTTACTCGTGATTATGCAAACACACGTAGGCGAACGTAACTCTTGCTAGCGGGGCCTACAACTTACTCGCTAATTTCACTTTGTACAACATTGCTCAATGCTGTATTGTTGTTAAAAATACTTCAGTTTATCATTAATTCAACAAAACAGCGCTGGTCTTGTATTTGACAAAAGTTCTTCTTAATCGATAATTACGTATTTATTTAAAAAGATAAAAAATGATACGTATATGTATTTTCGTATATGAAGTAATAAAAATATTTGAAGAAATGTAAAATTAACGGTTTTATCTGTGTTATTTATAGAAACATACACATGAAAAGAAAAGAAACAATTCGGTGATTAAAAACAAGTGTCGATTTCAATACATGCCAGATGCGCTGTTGTTGCAGCTGCAGACTTCGTAAACTGAGAGAAAAATATTTGTGACCATAATTGCATGGTAAAATATGTATAATAATTATGGTTAGAAACTCTACTTTTGTAGTTATTGCTACAATTAATAATAATAATTCTATTTATAACTCTACCTGAAAAAAAAAAAATATATATATAAAATTGCTACCAAAAATGACTATAAATTATAGTTAAATTATGACAATTGCAATCATTTTTTTCTCTCGTTGTAGCTATAGATTTCTATGTTAAAGTACAAGAATTATACGTTACATATACACATACTTAACGTATGTGCTTGTATTTGTTACATTCGCATATTTAATATCTATCAACATAGTAATCCCGTGGTGTAGGATGACTTTCAAATAACAACGTCTGCCCGTGCAGTTATGCGAATAGTCGGACACGGTACGCTACGCACAGCAATACCCATTCGACTTGCGTCACAGACTACGAGAGCGAATGCGTTAATTGCTGTTGCGTCGACGGGCGTAATTTCCAAAAAATATTTTTCCCGCGCGTAAAAAAGGAAGAGAAAAAAGGAATTTCCAACTGCGCGCGTAATCTTACTTCCGTCTTGATGTTGCTGGAGAACCACTTATTCATCCGCGGCGTAATGTATTGATACGCGTATTGGACCTCCATGACGCACTTCACTGTGTGTCTCTCTCCGTGTGGAGCACGAGGTAGGAAAAGAAACGGAGCGAAAGAAAAGAGAGGAAAAAAAAAAAGAACAACGACGAAAAACCGATCTCAGGCCGCACTCCGGATTCACTCGGCCAATGATATCACTCGACCTCGAACAAGTTCCCGTTGCGATACACTCACTTTCCCCCACCGCGATTTGCGGGATTTCAAGGATCCGGAGGTCCTCGATTCCCCCGTCGAATTTCACAGTACTCCGGAAATCAGAACGAAGCGCCTAAGGACCGACTATAAGCGAAATCTTCGGGAAGCTCGTCACTTTCAGCGACGCGTATCCTCGCGCAATGCGGTGCATGGACGTATATAGAAAGGAAATGAAAGAAGAAACGAAACGAAACGAAGCGAAGCGAAGCGACGCACGGACGGGACCCAACTGGCTGGTGCTGCGGGCCCCCCGAATGCCTTGCGGGCCTGCGCGGGTTCAGATACCTTGGTCTCAGGGTAGGGAGAATATAAAAAGGCGAGTCTAGAAAAGATCCAACCGACGCTGAAAGAGAAGGCAGGATAAGGACAGAATGAGAGATCAACGAGGCGAGAGGAAGGGAAACAGAACGGACTGAGAGGGGAGGTGAACGGAGGACCCATTCGTGTGCAGGACAGAGAGAGACCCGATGACTGGGAAGGGGAGAGAAAGGGGAAGGGGTCTTTTCCATAGTATCGGTTGAGAGAAGAGAACGATAGAGAGAGGGGAGAAAGAAAAAGAGGGAGAGAGAAACAGAGAGGGACAAAGACAGGCAGAGGTGAGAGAGGAATATATTCTGGGACAGGCTTCTTAAGTGCCGTGAGTCTTACAATGTTGTGTAAAGCGAAAGTTGTGGCAAATTTTCAGATACATTACGTATACGTTTATGGAATATAATGGCAAAGAAAGTAAAAAAATAAGACAGCAGAAAAAGAGGAGATGTAATATGAAAACAAAGTAGGAGAAAAAAGTACAGAAAGAGATAAAAAATCAAAGCTCAGAAATGGTAAAAAAGATGCAAAACAAAAGGATAGGGAAAGAGAGACACAGAAAGGAGTCCAAGATCATGGAAAGACATAAAGGAGATAAAGACGAAAATACGAAAAACATAGAAGGACTCGAAAGAAAAAATAAGGAGAACGATAGAAGTGAAGAGAAAGAAAAGAGAAGGAATAACGAATAGAGGAGATCCAATAGAGAAAGAAAGCTAAGAAGCGACATGAGAGAATAAGGACAAGTCGAAGTGAGACGGTGACAGTATGCGAGTGGAATCTAAGGGAGAACTGAGACTGAGAAAGTATAAGAATGAACGACAGAAAGAAGATCCAAAAAATTCGAAGAATGCATGAATACAACGGTATGCCATTCAAGAATCCAAATAACCGATAGTTAGAGTTAAGAATCGCTTGATGTTTAAATCATGAGAAAAAATACGAATTTTATTTAACAGTATACGGTGTCAGAATTTTCAGACGCGTAGACAAAAAAATGTTTATCTTGATTTCCAAAACGGACAATATTAATATTTGATAACGATTCATCTAATTCTAGATCTACAAGAAAATTATGTAAAACAATTCTGAAATATGTAACTTTTGTTACTGTCATCCGAGTCAATATGGTGTCATTCTTCCAGTCACAGTTAACAAAATAAAATTCTAATTACATTTTTTCAAAAAGAGAGACGTCGCGTCGTTTAAACTATAATTTTGAATGTTACATACGTTTATAGTAATTTATACCAATAGCAGAGGAAAGCCATCAGACGAGTTATTTAGAAAATAGTCCCGTTAAAGAATTTCAACCGGTACGTAGTTGAGAAAAAAAAAAAGTAGCAATCGCCGAAAAACAGTTCACAAAGTAGAGCAACAGATGTATGTGCGTCTTTGGGCGCTGGAAACCGGAAGACAGGGTACAGTCAACATAGAAAGGTGAATACAGAATGAAAGTTGGAGAAGCAATATACTCTGAAAAAGGCAGAACGTTGTGTGATGCAAGGGCAGGGAAGAGAAGAAAGGGAAAGGGGCAGGTAAAGCGTCGAGCAGAAAACTGCAAGAGGGAACCGCCGCGCGGGCCCCTCCGCCCCTATTCAATTATATTTCTCCATCATAAATGCCTATATTGTTACGTTTGTCAATGGTGGGGTAAGTGAGGGTCGGACAGACGGATAATACTGTCGAATTGTACCCTGTGACCCTATGTTATACCGTTCCCGCGTCCTTTATGACGAAGTCGGAGGGCCTTGGAATTTTTCACCACTCTTCGTCTTTGGAACCACCTGTATCGCTTCACTTCGTCGCACAAGAGATTGAATTTCCGATCGAGTGTAATTTACACACGTATAAAAATATTAAATGAAGCACTTGTATATTTAAAGCAACGCTCCGAAAACATAAATTATTACATAAAATCGATACTCACCTTGAGCGTGCAGTTATTATTGTGATTAACCGGCGGGTACGCGGGATGCCCCGGCATATGGGGATGGAGGTGTCCAGGGTGATGCGGATGATCTGGCATCATGCCGCCACCGCTATGATGATGTCCGTTGCTACCCATACCCTGTCCAGGTTGTAGGGCACCATAAGGGGTGGCGGGATCGCCGGCACCACCAGTATGTTGGGGTGAGTGCGGGCTGGGTAAGTCGGGGGTAGTCGTAGTGCCGCCGCCACCGCCGCCGCCGCCGCCACCTCCGCCACCTCCACCGGTCCCATACGCGTGATGCGGCCCGCCAGGCCCTGGATGATGCGGACTGCTCGAGAGCGAGGGATGGTGGGGGTAGGCTGCGGAGTGGCCCGGATGGTGGGGGTTCATGCCAGCGGTTAACGCGCTCGCCAGTTTGACCGATGAGAGGGTGGGCTCAGGGAGCCCACCGACAGTTTCCAACGGTGAAACGAAGAAGTGAGGAGCGGCTATGCGGCGCTCTATTGCGTCTCGGTACCGGCTCGTTTCTTCCGGTACTTCGGTGAAATCTGCAAAAATTAAATAAAAGTATAATTGAGTAAATGTCTGACATAAATATATCGTTGTTTGATACTAAAAGTTAGTCCAGCATATCGATTTTATCTTTCCTCTTGATCTTTTTTTGTAACATTTTAACAGTAGAGTCTCTTAATTGCTAAAAATGAAGGATGTCTTACACGTATTATATACATGACACATTCATAATATTATAGAGCAGTGGTAATTCGATGCCTTCTTCCTCGCACACACTTTACCTATCCTTGTTACTATATATTTAAAATATCCTGCTTTATTTATAAGATAAAATAAAAATAATCAAATGCAAGAAAATTTCAACTATTCGAGAGTACATTAGAATTCATGAAACATTCTGACCTATTCTTTGTCAAAAGCTCTGAGATTGGCAAGTGTGACCCGCGCGACACGCCCATCTTAATTAACAGTAATTGTTCGTCCTTAGCTCAGCGGGTGTCGACCGACCTTCCATTCCAAACTTCTGTCTACTTGCCCTTTGGGGCGCAACAAGCGGTCTTTATTTGATCGGCCTCAAAAGCGGATGATATCTTACGGGAATATTCTTCGTAAGAAGCTGAACGTTAGCTCCCATAACGGTTTTCTCTATAACACTTAATGACGTACGCGTATAACGCATAATAATTAATGAATAATGGAGAAGTAATTATCTTCTTGTATAACGGCGATCGATAGTAAATTCGTCGGTCCGACAATCTCATAAAGCGAGGTAAGCGTATGTAGCATTAAAAATTTCTTTGTTATGCGAAAGGGTGCGCTTCGTTTCGATAAATGCGATTCCACTGTACGCGGGGAAAGTAAAACTGTCGGTGCGACCTCGGTGGGAGAAAGTAATTAGCGCGCGCGCGCTGAGGCATATATTATTCCACGATGCAGGCGCACATCGGTACATCGGAACACACTCAGGCTCTTAATACGTATTTAATTAAGTATGCCGTGGTAGAGAGAGCGTAGGAGGATGCGCGGAGGAGGGCGGACGACGGGGGAGTTTATAGTGGATATCAGTATGGGCAACCATAACTCTCGCGCCTCCGCCAGCGAGCAGCGTGCCACTTATACGAGCACCTACCGCGATGGAATTTCATCCTCGCCGTTACCACATAAATCTCCGGCGCATTAATGCCCTTACGGACTCGCCCGCTCCGCGTTTCTGCGTGTCGGCTTCTTCTTAATGCGGTTACTTAGGTGCCGCACGCGTGTCGCACGGCGCTCCGTTCGCGAAGTTCTAGATTTCAACTATCGCAAATTATCGCATCGGTGATTCAATCATAAATCGAAGTAATCGTGGATCACGTTAAGATCTCATACCAGATTGCGCGCACGAAGAGCACTGTGAGACTGTCGTTGTCGAACAGGTAAATCAAACGCCTATATAAAGGAACATTTATTCAAATCGGTATCGTCAAAATATGGGGGGAGGGAGAGAGGCGGTTGGCCTGACGACTTGTGATTTCAAGTGCAGATGCCGATGCTCCCCGTCGTTCGTTATCAGCTCGCTCCCACGCATTTACGAGGCCTGACCTCTCCAGAGACGTTCTCGTCGTGCTCCTCGCGGAAGCGCGATAGCCGAACGATAACAAGATGATAACGAGGGAATACACCGGTAATTACCGGAATGATAATGACGAGGAGAGAACGACGAAAGCGCGTGGGTGGGTGGGGGGAGGGGGGTGAAGGAAGGCGAAGGAGGAGAACAGCAGAGGGCGATCGGCTGCGATAGGGATAATTAACGATCGCAATCGTACGAAAATGAGGACAGGGCGAGTGCGACGACGACGATAACGAGCGGTCCAGCGATCTTATTAGCGATAACAGTCGATAACGAGGACGCCTCGTTTCTATACGACAGCGAGCGGAAAGAAAGTCAGCCTAAGGATTAATGGCGATCCATGCAGTCATTGCGGGGATGGAATGTTACATTCCGGTGGATGACATCCAACCCCTTGGTGGTTTGCCTCTCAACCGTTTCAAGGTCGGCTACCATATGTTTTTAATTTTAGACACGTGTTCATTGAACACATGGCTAACATCCATATGTATAAGAATAAATTTCAAAACAACATAAAATACAAAACAGCGCAGACTTCATTATAGCAAACTCTCTTTTCTTTATTGAGATGGAATCCCTTCGATCCGTCACGGTTTACAGCGTCTACGTTCAAATTGAATTTAAATATTTCTTGGACTGACGAACTCTTTCGCGAATTGCCAGATCGTAAAAGTCTCCTCCTTTGCCATCTCCCCTTGCATATATATATGTATATACGCAGCGCGATCGCATCGTCGGAAATTGCTGTTTCATTGGGATCGGCAGTATTACGAAATCGTAGGGCGTTGTCTTAAGGACCAATAAAATGGTACAGTTAGGGTAGCCCACATGATCCCGCAAAATTAATATCGACGCTACGATTTCATTCCAAGACGATAACTCATCGTGCGCTTTTTTTACGAGCGGAGAACATAGAGACGCGCTTAGTAATCCCCAGAAATTCAATGCTAAAATAAAAGGTATCGTTTTAAAAGATGAATCGGCGGCTGATAATCTAACTAGAATGCTATCATGTTTCCTAATTTCATCAGTCATCGATCAGACGTCAAAAAGTGACAGAGACAAAATGTTTCGACATCGCATCGAAATTTTTTACGCACGCTATTCTACCATCATAGACGAGAAATGCAACCTCAGCGAATTTACATCGAGATCTGCTTATTAATGTATTATTTTCCTCGATGGTCGATAGTTATGTACACATATTCATCATCCCACAGTGTCGGAGAAAAGTGCAACTCTGATTATTATTGATAAAAAAAAAATGTGAGGTTAGTCCTCAAAGGAACTCCGGTAATGATGACCAAGACTCACCCTCGGGCTTTCCATCTTCCAATTCCGCGGCAATAATACGTTACGCGGAAGGTTCAAGAATTCCGCTGCAGCCGGTCGACGACAATAAAATAGAGTATTTTGTATCTCGTAATAAACCTTCAAGTGGCATAATGAACACCCTCGAGTCTGCAAGTACCGAAACGCGCGTTCTACAAGTGCGTCAGAACCAATCGACGTAGCGAAACTCTGAAAATTACGACTGCTTTGTCGTCGCGAGAACGTCGTGAGAAATTTGTACTCGGAATTCTTGGAAATTTATTGCGAATATTTACAACTACTAATTCGTTTAATTAGACCACGACTCTGTTTAAATAAAGATCCATAATCCCAAGCATCCTACCCCACACCGAGAAGCTAGCGAAGTAACGCGCTCCTACTCCTCCATCTATACTTTGTATATAATAATAAATTTACGGAGCTTAGAGTGTATAGGTAGCTTACAATGTCCTAATTTGCCTTTTCGGGAATATCAAATGTCTTGAGATTATTACCTCTGGTCTCGCACGAAAAAAAACACGGTCATTCTCTTAGGGCGCGCCCGAGGCGAGCGAGGATCGATGTGGGGATGTAATGATAAGTTCAGGTCGGTAATCACAGGCGAGAGAGGGACAGCAGCGAGGAAGACACTGAAAATAATCTAATTATTGGCGAGGACGATTATAGTGATTAGGCGCGTCGCGGCGGCCTCTTCCCTGTTTGCCACGCACAGCCCACCTATTATAAGTGTATCCTAGGAGGGAGCATAAATGAAAAGGCGTGCGCGCGCGCGCGAGCACGGGCGCGCGCGAATGCGAGCTCGACCTTTCTTCGGACGGAAACAGGCGGCAGAGAAGAGGAACAACAACGAGGGACCACGGCACGCAATTACTGAGGAATGCAGACGAAGGAAGAAAGCGGCTTTCTTCCATGTATTGGCCCGCCATGTTCACTGAATTCGTTTGACGCAATCCTTACTCTTGGAAATTTCAAATCGGAACAATTCGAGCGTCGAGTTGTTCTTTTGGTTCTTCTTAGATCTCCGTTGGAATACTCTCTCGCGGAAGTTGAACTTGGTTTCTTAGCTCGTTAAGGATTTTTAAGTTCATTACTCTTTGCGTTCTTAAATAAGGAGATTCATGGACTGATAAACCCTTCGTCGTTTTTACGGTCTTGGAACTTGGATTCATGAACCTCGAATAGCACTCGAGAAAAGTTATTGTAACGAGATAAATAGTAGTACGACGACTATATACTTCTGCATGCAGATGCGTTTCCAGAATTTTCAAAGTTAAGAAAAATAAGAGGATAGGTCGATAGATAAAAAAGAAAAGCAAAAACAATGATTAGTCGATACAATGTACCTTACTTCGGCGCTGCCGAAGAATATCGGTCGTTATGGTCGGCTTGAGATTCACGTGGCGCAAAGTAACAAGCTGCCAACGTTGGATATTTATGGGGGCCGTCAAGGGTCAAACCCAGTTTCGCCCAATACGCACAGTTGCCAATCCACATCTCCGCCGCGAAAGGGAGAAAAAGAGAGAGAGAGAGAGAGAGAGAATAACAGTTTTATATTTTATATTTAATGCCTTGTGTACGCCACGATGCACTCCTCTGTCCCTGCGGAAACGAGAGCGGATAGAATTTTCTTCGCAAACTTTTCTCGAAATCGACCTCGTTGATCGGCGGAATAGCCCCCGACAATCTTGCGAGAGATATCACACTTTAATGTAATTCAGAACAATAATCCAAATGAAATATATTATAAATGTGAGTATCGTGTCGCTTCTGACATATGTAAGTTTTATGGATCATTAAAGCACACTGCGAGATAATATTGCCGTTCCTGGGGTATGTATAGCTGATGTAACTTCCCTTTATCCCTCTTCCTATGTGCACAGCCACCACGGGAACATGCGAGTGCGCCGCAGTGCGCAATAAAATTAGCGTCTATCGGTCAAGGTAAGTGCGGCGCGCATTAGACAAGGCGGTCGAGCGGGTGGAGATCAGGAAACGTCGGAACAGGGGAAGGCAGGCGTGGTGGAAGCAGTGGAAGCCTAATTGGCCGAAATTAGCAAGTTTAGTCATTAGCGGAGTTTCCGGCGGCGGTGGCGG